CGTGGCAGGGCAGTCAGGTAGCGGCGGAGTCGGCGGCGCGGCGCAGTCTTCGCGCGGTCTTCGGGCGCGTGCGCGGCGCGGTCTTCGGGCGCGTGCGCGGCGCGGTCTTCGGGCGCGTGCGCGGCGCGGTCTTTGGGCGCGGTGCGGTTCTCGGGCACGGGCGCGGTCTCCTGCCAGGTGTTGTTCCTCCCCTCTCAGTGCTATCAGCCTGTGTGGATGGATATATTTGTTTTGCATCCACACTATCATTATCAAAACTGAACTGAAACAGAACTTTCTCCCATGCGTAGTGATGGACATTCTGACAAATGCGAAGGAGAGAGACCAGAGAACAAAAGAGAAAGGGATTTCTATCTATTTCTCAAGCATCCATTCCATTCACAGCAATACAACTAAGAGATCCCAAATGAATCTGCAGATGAAAGCATGCAGAATATGGTCTATGCAATGAACTGGGTCTCAGGGCTTATGGGTGCTAGTATACATATTCTCAACTTTAGAGCAAGTCTAATTGAACTGAATAGGATTTCTTTCTGAATAAACTTGCACAGAAACAGTCTGGACTTCATTTAAGGAATGAAGGGAGTTGCAGAACTAAGACAAGATCTTGGTTTGGAAACAGAGACATAGGATAATGGGCCTTGTATAGGTGAGATGCACAGCTTGCGGCAAGAGTCCCTTCATTATTTATTATTCATTACTCATGAGTTAGGAACTTTTTTCACCTGTGCAGGGCTCAAGGGGAAGCTTTGAAACCATATGTTCCAATATGTAAGGAGGAGCCATCCATCCTGAATATTTAGAATTCACTGCAGTTGGGTCATTTGAAACAACAGGGGCAAAAGATCACCCACATGTCCACACAAACCAACCTCCTTCCCCACTATTCTGCATCTTCCACCTGGTCCCACAGCATCCCTTTCAATCACACTTCAGTTCCTGAAGAAAGATCTTTTATAAACCTTTTACTGATATTATCAAATATATTTGGAATAGATGTACATTCTAATGCCTACCTTTCTTTCCTGAAATCTTCCCTTTTGGGCATGGGATGCACTCATAGCAGCAAAATGGCTCCCCTTCCTTGATCTTCTTCCTAGATCCAGGATTGCAGCTCTCACTGCATGCAGACAGAGGCTGTGCCTAAGGCATCGGGCAAGAGGAGTATAGGAATAATCAGAATTATTCACTGGAAACCTTCCAGTTCTGCAATCCCTTTGTAAGTTCCCACTTTTCCAGGAGATGCTTTTCTATAAATTCATTTTGTGAGAGTATGTCAAGATTGAAATTATATGACTGTGTTGTGGAGAGAAACTGCATGCATGCTTCCCATCTGCTTGCTAATTGAATGGAGAAATGGAGAAAAATAGTGGTTCAAGGTCCCATCTGAATGAAGTCATCAACCTAGTTCCACCTCAGTTTGGGAAAAGCACCACTTTTTAAATTTGCCCAAATACTCCCCAATTCATATTTCAACATGGTTTCACTTTTGACATGTTTTTTTCAGCTACTTTGAGTAGTAAAACTATATATTTTATGCATTTTTCAATAATATATACAATGTGTTCTGCCATTCATTTTAAGAATATGCAGATTCTCTAGTGTGCATTAAAACATGAGTTTTTCGAATCTATCGATTCAGGAATATGTAACCATTTCTCAAAGAAAACACTCCTTTTATTTTAAAAGGCAGATGTTCACAAGATTTGCTGGAAGTAAAATTGCTGTGTATTCCTCCTCCCTCCATTTCAAACATTTCTTTGGGTATGTGAGATGAACCCTCCCAGAAGTGGCTACCGTATGGGTATGCTACATATATTCCTATGAATTCAAGGGCACCCTCATCCTGTCCAATTGTTGCTGTGGCACCAAAGCTGTGGTGACAAAATGTATAGGTAGTAAAAAGGACAAATCCTGCTGTAATATACGGTGACCTGTCTGTCTTGGGTGACCCTGCACGGCATAGCTCATAGCTTCATTGAGCTATACAAACCCCGTCACCACGACAAGCCAGTGATCCATGAAGGGGAGCTCTGAAAAAACGTGATCCACTGGAGAAGGAAATGGCAACTCACTCCAGTATCTTTGCCATGAAAACCCCATGGACAGTACCAAAAGGCAAAAATATATGATGCCAGAAGATGAGCCCCTCAGATCGGAAGGTGTCCAATATGCTACAGGGGAAGAGCAGAGGGCTAGTACTAGTAGCACAAGAAAGAATGAAGTGACTGGGTCAAAGTCGAAAGGACACTCAGTTGCAGATATATCTGGTGGTGAAAGAAGAGTCCGATGCTGCAAAGATTTATACTCCATAGGAACCTGTAATGTAAGATCCATGATTCGAGGCAAGCTGGATGTGGTCAAACAAGAGATGACAAGACTGAACATCAACATCTTAGGAATCAGTGAACTAAAACGGACAGGAAAGGGTGAATTTAATTCAGATGACCATCAGGTATACTACTGCAGGCAAGAATCCCTCAGAAGAAATGGAGTAGGTTTTATATTCAATAAAAGAGTAGGAAAAGCAGTACTGGGTTACAATCTCCAAAATGACAGAATGATCTCAGTTCGAATCCAAGGCAAACCATTCAACATCACAATAGTCCAAGTCTATGCCCCAACCACTGGTGCTGAAGAGGCTGAAGGTGACCAGTTCTATGAAGGCCTACAACACTTTCTAGAATTAACAACAAAAATGATGTCCTTATCATCATGGGGGATTGAAATGTGAAAGTAGGAAGCCAAAAGATAACCAGAATAACAGGCAAGTTTGGCCTTGGAGTACAAAATGAAGTAGGGCACAGGCTGGTAGAATTTTGTCAAGAGAATATGATGGTCATAGCAAATACTCTTTTCCAACAACCCAAGAGACGACTCTACACATGGACATCACCAGACGGTCAACACAGAAATTGGATTGACTATGTGCTCTGCAGCCAAAGATGGAGAAGCTCTATACAGTCAGTAAAAACTAGACCAGGAGCTGACTGTGGCTCACATCATGAACTTCTGGTTGCAAAATTTAGGCATAAGTTGAAGAAAGTAGGGAAAAGCACTAGGCCACTCAGGTATGACCTAAATCATATCCCTGATGAATATACAGAAGAGGTGACGAATAGATTTAAGGAATTAGATCTGATAGACAGAGTGCCTGAAAAACTATGGACGGAGGTTCGCAACATTGTACAAGGAGCAGCAACTAAAACCATCCCAAAGAAAAAGAAATGCAAGAAAGCAAAATGGCTGTCTGAGGAAGTTTTACAAATAGCTGAGGAAAGAAGGGAAGCGAAAGGCAAGAGAGAAAGTGAAAGATACAAAAAATTGAATGCAGCATTTAGAGAATAGGTAGAAAACACTGCCTTCTTAAATGAACAGTGCAAAGAAATAGAAGAAAACAGTAGAATAGGGAGGACCAGAGATCTCTTCAAGAAAATTGGAGATAGGAAGGGAACATTTCATGCAAAGATGGGCATGATAAAGGACCAAAATGGCAGGGACCTAACAGAGGCTGAAGAGATTAAGAAGAGGTGGCAAGATTACACAGAAGAACTATACAAGAAAGAGCTTAACGTCCCTGATAACCATGATGGGGTGGTCACTGACTTTAAGTCAGACATCCTGGAATGTGAAGTCAAATAGGCCTTAGGAAGTCTGAGCAACAACAAAGCTAGTGGAGGCGACAGTATTCCAGCTGAGCTATTCAAAATCCTAAAAGACGATGCAGTAAAAGTGCTACACTCAATATGCCAGCAAATTTGGAAAACTCAGCAGTGGCTACAGGATTGGAAAATGTCAGTTTACATTCAGATCCCAAGGAAGGGCAATTCCAAAGAATGTTCATACTACCGCACTATTTCACTCATTTCACATGCTAGCAAAGTGTTGCTCAAAATCCTACAAGCTAGGCTCCAGCAGTATGTGGACCAAGAACTACCAGAAGTACAGGCAGGATTTTGAAGAGGCAGAGGAACTAGAGATCAAATTGCCAACATACGCTGGATCATGGAGAAAGCTAGGGAGTTCCAGAAATACATCTACTTCTGCTTCATTGACTATGCTAAAGCCTTTGATTGTGTGGATCACAACAAATTGTGGCAAGTTCTTAAAGAGATGGGAGTACCAGAGCATCTTATTTGTCTCTTGAGAAACCTATATGTGGGTCAAGAAGCAACCATGAGAATTGGACACTGAACCACCGATTGGTTCAAAATTTAGAAAGGAGTTCAGCAAGGCTGTATTCTGTCACCCTGTCTATTTAACTTATATGCAGAACACATCATGAGAAAGGCGGGGCTAGAAGTATCACCAATTGGAATTAAGAGTGCTGGGAGATATAGTAACTACCTCAGATATGCAGATGATACCACTCACATGGCAGAAAGTGAAGAGGAACTAAAGAGCCTCTTGATGCAGTTGAAGGAGGAGAGTGCAAAAGTTGGCTTGAAATTCAACATGATGAAAACTAAGATCCTGTCATCCAGTTCTCTCACTTCCTGGCAAATAGATGGAGAAGAAATGGAGGTAGTGACAGATTTTATTTTCTTGGGCTCCAAGATCACCACTGATGGGGATTGCAGCCAAAAAATTAAAAGACGCTTGTTTCTGGGGAGGAAAGCTATGGCAAATCTGGATAGCATACTAAAAAGCAGAAACATCACCCTGCTAACAAAAGTGTGTATAGTCAAAGCCATGGTTTTGTCAGTTGCAATGTATGGCTGTGAAAGCTGGACCATAATGAAGTCTGAGCGCCGAATGATTGAGGCCTTTAAATTGTGATGCTGGAGAAGACTCCTGCGAGTCCCTTGGACTGCAAGGCGATCAAACCGTTCAGTCCTAGAGGAGATTGACACTGACCGCTCTTTAGAAGGCCAGATACTGAAGATGAAACTCAAATACTTTGGCCACCCAATGAGAAGGAAGGACTCACTGGAGAAGAGCCCAATGCTGGGAACAGTTGACGGGAAAAGAAGAAGAGGACGGCAGAGGATGAGGTGGCTAGATGAAGTCACTGAAGCATTTGGTGTGAGCTTAAGTGAATTCTGGGGGATGGTGGAGGACAGGAAGACCTGGAGGAACTTTGTCCATGGGGTCGTGATAGGTTGGACATGACTTCGCGACTAACAACAACAAAACCAATAAACCAGTCCAATTTGGATTGAGGCCACAGTGTAGGGACAAGGATGATTAATCTTTCTTCTGCAGGGTTTTGCTTTGCAATATTCTCCCTACCCTTACCAATGGTATCTTTCCACTCACAGTAAATTGCTGGAAGCCATGCTGTCCCTAACTATGTCCATTCATGCGGCTGAAGATGTTGCTACAATGGAATGGTTAGCAACACATCTTTGTTTTTCAGGTGATTCAGCAGCCCACCTTTTTTCTCTAGTAAGTCCAGCTGCTGTCACAATATCAGGAGCCAGTTGTATGCTATTTTTTCTCTTATTCTGCAGACACTTAGCCTTTTCTGAGAGGAAGTCCTGTGGGTTTAATTCTCCACTATCTTCCACATGACCTGCTTGTGAAGCCAGTTCTTGCATTTCCAACTATACCCTTGCCTGCTGTGGTCATGTCTTCCATTCTACAACTTCTCCTTCCTTTTCAGATAGGAAACTTAGGGGAGGCTTAGGAAGTGCATCAAGTAGCCCATGTATGTCCAAAAATTATTCCATGAAGCCACCCCCACTCCCAGGACAAAGGAAATGAGAATCAGACTTCTTTCTGTTTGATGTCTCATATCATTTGCTGGTTGCTCCTGCCTGTGGTGTAACACCCTTCAGCATGTTCAAGATTAGTGATGCTGTAATGCACTTGCTGCATCTCCTCTTCTGGAGACTGCTTTCTGGGTGGAACAGGCTGGAGAAATGTTGAAAATAGCAAGTAGATAACAGGAGGATAAGAGAATAGATGGACCTGGACAGGGGGACACAGAAAGGCATGATGGAGCAAATCAGGCAATGATGTCTGTGTGCTATGTTGGGAAAATCTAAATCAATCTTGTTAAGGAAAAGTGACTTTTGTGGGCCTTGTTGGAATAAAAGCAACACCGTCCCTGTTCCTCTTGCCCAGAACAAACCAGAACATTTTAGCCAAGCATCCTGTTTCTGTGGAATAGTGCCAGAATTGGGGGCTTATCTGTTTCTTTCAGAGTTTGAGGCTCTCCACATGGTTGCTACAACACGCTAATTGCAGAGTGCTAATACCCTCTGGAATGTATTTGTGTACCTATTGCTATAACCTCTAGCTGCTCACCACATTCCTCGGCTTCTGCCTTATGGACATTGAAATATTCTATCTAGCCAGCTCATGTTCTGTTGAGTCTCCTGTCCTCTTGAAATAGGCTCCCCCTACATGTCAAAATCCACACCTGAGATCTGTTATGAGTCATATTAGTCTTGTCTATACCCACCAATCTCCCTCATCTTTGTAACCTTGCGTAATCTTATCCCTGCTGTTAGCTCATATTGTTCTGCTTATGGCTGCATTGTATCTCGCAGTGTACCCATTCTTCCCTCACCATCAGCCACCTCCTGTGTACATGACCCACAACCTATAAAATATTCTATGTATGCTTAGGGAACCTGTAGCCAGTTGACATGGTGACTACCCAGCAGTGCTGTTGCAATTTTGACTCTATCAGAGGGGTCCCTGGGAGACCTTGCAATAAACAACCGAGCTTCAAGTGATGTGTCTTCTGTGTAGATCTGAGCATACATTTCCCCATTCTGCTAATCCAAGATTCCTTGTCAACTGATCCCGCCATGGCTAGTCAAGAATGGATGACTAGATGGGCCCCTAAATTTGCCTCTCTTCCTATGGGATTCTGTGAAATTTCTTTTAGGAACAGAAATTAAATTCCCAGCTCTAGACATTTGCTGTAAGCACAACTCATAAGACAAATATTTCTTATTGTGTTTTTAAAGGATGAAAAAAGAGTGGTGAAATAACACACCAGGATTCAGATGGCAGAAAGGACTAAAAGCTAGTGTGGTGTAGTGGTTAAAAGCATGGGACTGGGACTCAGGCAATCTGGGTTCTAGTCCCCGCTCAGCCATGGAGCCAACTGGGTGACTTTGGGCCAGTCACAGACTCTCAGCCCAACCCACCTCACAGGGTTGTTGGTGTGGGGATAAGATGGAGGAGGAGAATGATGTAAGCTGCCTTGAGCCCTTTGTAGGAAAAAGGCAGGATATAAATCAAAAAATAATAATAATAAAAAATAAAAAGAATTGTGGTTTATTGCTTTGTGAAAACCCAGTCTGGGAGTGAGAAAAAAAGTGAATCAATTTGTGATCAGAAAAGTGTGAAGGAGAAAAGGAATCAAAATATGTTTATGTTCCTATCAGTAACTAGAGGTTCAGAAGAGTTGCTTATTGTGTTGGCGCTCAAGGCCAACCTCTACATGGAATCAGTCATTGAGTAGGTTGCCTGCCACTTGACACAGCTCTCCTGGAAGCTGCCATTTTGTGATGATATCCATTTTGTGGTTAAGTGAGCTCATGGGCACAAAAGACTAGCACTAAATCATGCATGCTTAGGAGGTGAATGCAGCAGTGTATATAGCAGACTGTTACGAGCAAACTTTATTCTCAAGTTTCCAACACACAATTTCCAATGCATACAGTTGTAGGCCTCATGCAACCCTCCAAATGGATTTGCAGCTGTTGTGCAAATTGAAATGAACTTGAAGGTTTAAACAGATGGGCAAGAGAACCAGGGGGATTCTGGGAAACTAGAAGCCATTTGATATACATTCTTTTCTGGCTAAACCATTAGGAAACATAGAATTTTCAAGCCTATAGAAGGACAAGTCTTTCTGAACAAGAAGTAGCATTGATTCTATGAAGGTTGAAGGTCTCTAAGACTACAGATGCTAGTTTAAATTTGAAAGAAAAGTATGCAATGTACCCATTCTTCCCTCATCATCACCCTCACTACTGTGTATGTGACCCACAACCCATAAAGCTTTCTGTGTATGCTCAGGAAAATATTAGCTGGTTCTGAATGCTGGTTTTCTGTCAGAGGGGTACCTGGATGTCCTGCTAATGCACTGCTGAGACTGAGCTCATGTCTTCCATGTGGATCTGACCATACATTCTTCTGGTTCTGCTAACCAAGATTTCCTGACATATACATGGTGCTCACTGGAATGTAATGTCTTTGTTTTGTGTTGCTTTCTGAAGCAATCAGCTTTGCACAAAGTCCATTTAATGGAAAAGTGACTAGCCTTCTTCAACAGAGTGCCTCCACAAAGGGAAGATGCTATGTCATGATTGATCTGCATTTGAGGGCCTCTTTTCCATCCATTTGCATGGCATTCAAAAGGACCCAGGCCACTAACTTCAGTGAAGCTTTGGCTAAACTAGGAAGAAACTGGAATCATGAATGGAAATCTTAATGACAAATTGTGAGCACAAATCTGTCCTTTGTCAAAAAAAAAATGCAAAACAAAACAAAAAAACAGGTCCACACAGATGGATTATAAATTGCAGCAAAATGTGCAGGCAAGTACACTTTTCAAGCTGTTCTTCTTATTAGATGCTCCTTCGTGTTCAACTCGGGTCTCAGCAAAATGATGTAACATTTGGGGAAGAAGATGCAAACCAGCAGACCAGAACTGGAGGCTAAGATAGAAAAGATCTCTACAGTCACCAAGGATTTCCCTTTGGTGCTCAGGTAGGAAGGCACAAAGGATAGCCAGACACTGCAAAAGACCAGCATGCTGAAAGTGATGAACTTGGCTTCATTGAAACTGTCTGGGAGCTTCCGGGCAAGAAAAGCCACCATGAAGCTGACCATTGCGAGAAAGCCCAGATAGCCCAGGACACAGTAAAACATTGTTATGGACCCCTCGTTACATTCCAGGATGGTTTCTTCAGCAGCTGAATGCTTGTCAATATCTGGAAATGGAGGAGAAGTTGCCCACCAGGTAAGGCAGATCCCACCCTGAAGAAAGCTGCAGGAAAAAAGGAGGGTTTTGGCCAGGCTCTTCCCCATCCACTGCCTCACTTTGCTCCCTGGTTTGGTGGCTCTGAAGGCCAAAACCACCATGACTGTCTTTGTGAGCACGCAAGACATGGCCACTGCAAAGATGATGCCAAAAGCAGTTTGTCGCAGGAGGCATGTCACCTGGTGCGGCCGGCCGATGAAGAGCAGTGCACAGAGGAAGCAGAGCAGGAGGGAGATGAGGAGAGTGTAGGTGAGGTGCCAGTTATTGGCTTTCACAATGGGTGTCTCGTGATGCTTCTGAAATATTCCTAGCACCAGAGCCGTGATCAAGCAGAAGAGAATAATGGAAGAGGATAAAATGATGCCCAAGGGTTCTTCATAGGAAAAGAAGTTCGCTGACTTGGGAATACAAAAATTCTGGTGCTTGCTTGGGTACTTTTCATCTTCACATGAATAACAGTAATGCATAACTGAGGAAAGATAAATACATACATTTTATCATGTACTCTACAGGTCTCACCAACAGGCCACATCAACTTCTCAGAAAGACTGTTTTCTACGCAATGTGTAGAGAATCTGTTATTTCATTACATCCATATTTGTAAATTCTCAAGTGCTCTCCACTCTAAACATGAGGAAACTGCATGTTTCCTGAGACAAACCAAAATCAAAGGAAAGTCTCCTCCTTCTTGCATGAGCCAAATTCAATAGCAATTTCCTGCATGAAGAAGGCCATGCTTTCTTGGCCTGGAGGAAAGCCATTGAAGAGGAAGATTCTTTCAAGAGAAAGGGTTTAGGGAAGCCCTAAATCAGCACTTACTTGGCTGAATACACCATGATTTCATAGCTAGTTTTTTGAGCTAAATACTCAGTGCCTTCAACCTGGCTGGATGGAGACATTCATGCCTTTTGATTGCTTCTGGAGTATTAAATGGGATACATGTTTAGAATGTAGTGATAACTTTGAATTGGCTTACTTGGATAAAACAGCGTTATCCCAATTATTGGTTACAGCTTCCATGGCACAGTGCCAGAATGAAATTATTAAGCAGCCCAAGTTCATGCTAATTCCCCACTTCAGCTCACCTGCTGGCTTACTGAGACTAATATGGGATGTTAAGTGCATCACACAATGCACCATTTCGTGGGCCCCTCCCACTGTCTCCTATCAGGATAACCCACCAGTTCCTTGTGAGAGCCAGGTGCCTTTAAGCTCCACCCCAGGGTCCCTTCTGAGATGCCCCCATTGGGGTTCTGGGGGCACAGAAATTGCTCCTCCTGCCAAAAGGTTCCAGCGCAAAAATTGGGAAACAGTTTTCAAAAATGAACAGAAACAAATCTGGACTGGAATATATCTCTCAACCATGCCAGCTTTGCCTGAGAACTTCCTAAGGAGGCAGGATAGAGCACAAATGTTAAGGAAGTTTGTACATATGTCTGCAGCATCCATTTCATTCAGAGCCATAAGCCTGACAGAACCTGAATGAATAAGTAAACAAAAGGAGAGCACACTCTAAGCAATGAATAGGGCTCTGGGGTTTAAGGCTATTATCATACTTTTTCTTCACTTCCGAGAAAGCCTGATTGAACTGAATGGGATTGCTTTCTGAATAAACCTGCACAGAAACATGCTGGCCATCATCTAAGGGATGTAGGAAGTTGCAGAACTAAGGCAAGATCTTGCTTTGAAAGCATATACATAGGATAATAGGGCTTTGATCACAGAGATGCACTATGACCAGAGTCCCTTTGTATTTCATTTCTCATTAATTATGTTCTTTTAGCATCAACTGAAGAATTTGTGCAGTGTTGAAAGGCAAGTTTCAAGAGTATATGTTTTAATAGTCAAAAAACTGCCACCCATCCTGAATATTTAGAATCCACTGCACTTGGGTCATTTGAAACAACAAATCCAAAACATTCTCACACACACCAACCTCTGCCCCCTTCACACTATTCAGCATCTTTCACCTGGTCCCACCTGGGCCCATTCAATTACACTTCAATTCCGGGAGAAGCCTCTTTTACATACATGTTCTCCATATCAAATATATTCAGAATAGATGTACATTCTAATGCCTACCCATCTTGCCTGAAATCTTCCCTTTGGGACACGGGATGCAATCATAGCAGCAAAGTGACTTCCCTTCCTTGACATTCTTCCTAGAACCAGGATTGCAGCTTTCACTGCACACAGATAAAGGCTGCGCCTAAGTCATCAGGGGAGGAGGAGAATAAAAATTATGCGAATTTGGAATCCTTTCAGTTCTGCAATCATTTTGAAAGTTGCCAAGCTCTCCCAGAGCTGCTTTCCATAAACGGGCTCTGTGATTCTTTGGTAAGGTTGAAACTATATGACAGTCTTGTGAATGGAAGCTGCATGCATGCTTCCCATCTGTTTGTAAATGGGATGGAGAAATGGGGCATGACATGGGGATCATGATCCCATAGGTATGGCATCCTGAACCTATTTATTTATTTAAAGTTTTTGTATGCCGTCCCCTTGCTATATAGCCTCGGGATGGTTCACACAAACCTAGTTCCTCCTAGGGTTGGAAAAAGCACAATGTTTCAAGTTTGCCTAAATTCTCTGAATGCTTTTTGTACTTCCATTTTTACATGGCTTTCAGCTACTTGGAACAGGTAACTTATGCCTTTCTGCATTTTTCCAAAAAGCATAAAATGTGCATTGCCATTATCATTTTTTTAAAAAAATGATTTTAAGAAATGCACTCATAAATCCAGATGTTAAAAGCAATTCTCTAAGTATACATGCCTTGTTTTAAAAGGGAGATGTTCAACTGATTTGCCAGAAGTAAAATTGCTGTTTATCCCCCTCTCCATCCAGTTCAAACATTCTCATGGAGAGGTCAGGTGAAGCCACCCAGAAGACACAAATTAAGACAGGACCACATTTTCACTATAATTACACTAGGATAGACTGTCAACTTAAATTAGGTAAACCACTTTGAGTTCATTGCAAGAAAAAGGTGCAATGAACTCAGACAGACAGACAGACATGCAAAACCAACTCTGATGTAAGTATATTCAAAACAACACAGAATTAATACAATTTGCTTCCCCCCTTCTATTATTTCAGCTGTTTAATTCAGCAGAAGAGGAATCATGGAAAAAACTTATTGGGTCTCATTCACTGCTTCAAGTATTCTGCAGTCAAGTTTCAATTAAGTATTTTTCTAGATCCGTCTTTGCCAAATGAAATAAAACATACATGTCACTACTGAGACTGTTATTCAAATGTGTAGTTGGTGTGAAACTGCCAAGAACCAAACCTGATTAAACCAGCTGTTCCATGTTATGGTATCCGGAAATATGTTAAATGCTTGGCCGGGAACAGCCTGCACATCCATTCTCCCAACTTTCACTCTTCAAAAAGATTGGTTCGAGGACACAATCCAATTGATCACATCGAATCCAGTTACTAACTCTCCATTCTCGTTAAAAGAAATCTTTTCCCCAGCACTGTTGTTAAATGAAACAAGCTTCAGGAAATGGAGGAGCTAGATTGAAAGGGAAGGAGCTTAGAGAAACTGTAATCATCTAGTTCAGATATGAACTGTTTCCCTACAGTATATTAATGTATTTTGGTTATCTACAGAAATGTGTTTCTCTCCCACATACGGTTCTTTAGCCCATTACCTGCCACTGTGCTTGGCTCTGAAACATCTGTCCACCTCTGGTTACCATTCCTCTGTTCTTTGGACCAGATGAAGACATGGCATGCAAGGTGTGGGCCACCGCATGGACAGCATTGTAGACATTGTAGCTGTGACCAGTCAAACTCATTTCAAAAAAAGTTGCAGGCAAACACACCAGCTTCTCATTCCCAGTGCAAATATCCCCATTTGCATTGCCCAGAAATGGATCTGGGAATACACAACTGAAAGCCTGTTGCCAGAAGGACCTAAGAAACCCATCTCCTTTTGGAATGGAAGGGTCTTTTGCATCGAGGAATTGTTGAAATCCTGGTACATGGTTGGATTGAACAGTGAAAGAAAGGGCACCATGGAAAAAGTCTATGTTCCAATTCCTTTGATAGACAAATGATGTGAGCTCCACCTGAGCTGTCACAATCATTACTTTACCAATTGGGGTATTTCTTGCATGTTCTCGTTGTGATAAATATGGCAACCATCTAAAAAATGCCATGGAATAGGATTCTCCATTGGCCACCAATACATTGGCTGTGCTGTCCTCAATCTTATCACGTATTTTTGCCCCTTTGTCCAAAAGTTTTTTAATATCAGGGTCAAGTTCAGGGATTTTTTCAATGAAGTCAAAGCAGACACCACTCTTGGAAAACAGTGGGACCACCATCTGGAGGAATCGCTCCCCATTGTCATTATCCGTAACGACTGCCCCAATCCATATCCAGCCAAAATGCAGAAGTAAAGAGAGAATCCCTGCATATTGAAGTGATTCCCTGGGAGTCATATTGTAGAAGGAAAGACCTGGAGTTTTATCATTCATCACTGGTGCAGATCCATATATGAACTAAGGAGGTACAAGAAGGAGAGGGAGACACACCAAATAAAGAGGACATTTTTGTAGTTCCTTTAATGTTTTCAAAGGATTTTCATATATTACTTCAGCAGTCTTGTCAACAGTACTATAATACAGGGATTCCCATTGCCTCATGGCATATGTGGGCACCTCCAATGGTCCCTGAAAAGTCGTCTCCAATATGGCACCCTAGGACATATTATTTTTTCCACTATGTATGTGTTCATGTCCCCATGGACATGTATGACAAGCATACGTCTTAGTAATAATTCTGAGGCTTCAATAAATTGTACCAATTACACAAAGAAGTATACATGTGTAGGTTGTGTCAATACACCAGCTCCTGTTCATATATGAGCATATAATATGGTCCTTAATCATTGCCTGATTTCAGCATGGACACAGAGAATCTATTTCATCAATATGTTAATTTCCATGAAACAATGACTTATTTAATAACAGTATATGATCCAAGGAATATTAACGTTTATGCTGTGCATGATCTACATATGGTATGGTGTCCCTGCATGCAACATACCAACTACTAAACGTTCCTAAAGCTGATGTTTCAAAAGAGTGTTGCACTCACTTGGACTTAAGGGAATTTCTCAAATTTCCAAATACGTTCAGGGGTCCAAAAAGGTTGGGTACCACTGCTATGATTGCTATAAAAATGGCAATCTACACCCTCCCTGCAATAAATATTCCATAACTCTATCCTTTCCTGCTATGGCTAATGCTGGCAGGAGCGAGGAGCAAAATGAAGAGCATCCGTGGGTGGGGTGTATGTGTGAATGTGGTCTGAACCTCTGCCTGAACCCTCCTGTCTCTGATCAACATCTGTATAAATAAATACATGCTCAGCAGAAATTGCCTTATCCCCTGGTTGTTTGCTTTGCTTTTGATGTTGCCACTCATCCAAAGGAGAAAGACAATATGGCTTCTTCCGAAGTCCAAATATCCATTCCCAAAGCACAAATGCCACAAATAAAGAACAAGGTGGTTGTGAAGAAATTGTTCAACTCCATTTCCCATATTCATCTAAAGACATTGTCCCCACCTGTGGGATCTTGTAGATATCCAAGAGAGTTGCTATGTGAAGGGAGGTTTGGGCATCCAATCCCCCGATGACTGCCATCAAGTGCTGCTGGATACCACATTTGAAGTTAGGGACTAATCTCCCTGCTGCACATAGCAGTAGCAAGGTGGCCTGATAGGTCCACTTGGCCGTGAAGTAGCTGTCATAGATGCGGAAGCCCAAGGTGAGGTTGGGTAGGATGAGTGGGTTGTCATTGATCTCCTGCACTGCAAATGTCAAGGCCAGGATATGCTGGTAATTCTTTGGCACCACACTAGAAGCAACACAGTCACCTCCAGTATTAGAACATTCCTCACACAGTTTTTTGTAAGCAGCTCACACTGCTTTTGCCATCCTCATTATCAGCACGTTCAGCTCATCTCTGGCTTACCTTGGCCAACAGAAAATTAATACAGTCAGAATTATACAATCAATGAATTATTGATATTCATCTTCCAAATAGACCATTCCCTGGACTTTATCATGGTTAAGAATTTGAATAGTGTGATCCTATGCATGTTAACTCAGATAGAAATAACCTGATTCTAATGAAGTTTCCTCCCACGTGATCTGTGTCAGTGCTCAATGACAAGATACTATCACCCCCATGGAAGGTTCATCAATTTCCCAATAAAGAGCCTTCTAGGAATCCCATGCAATGTGTGAGTCACATTGGTAGAGAAATGTGCTGCATTTTATCTAGATGAACAAGTTCAGCCATTGGGATATAAAGGTTTAGAAAACATGTTTGTTTCTTCATTTTATAGTCCTGCTTAAGCGGAACATCTATCAGGTATACGAAAAGAGTTAAAGTGATTGTGATGTGACTAAGCACAGAACAGAGGGTACACCACATTGAATATAACTACTTCTAAGTGAAAGAATTCCTGTAGTTCAATTCCTTCCAATTCTAACAGAACCTTTGTGCAAAGATTGATCCAGTATCTGCCTTCCCTAAAAGCAAGGAACTTCCGTGAGTGGAAGGGCTTCACTCAGGGTAAAATCTTCTCTTTTGATATTGGGGTTTCCCATCTGTCCATCCTGCCACATATCAGCACATTCAGGAGGTGGTCTGGAGGGCTGCTGTGGAAGAAAGGGGAGGAGAAATCTACTTCCCCCAAAGATTTGACCCAGTCCCCTCAATTTTGGAGATGTGGAATTTCCTTAAGTGATGGAAGAATAAAAAAGGAGAGGTGAATGATCAGAGGTAGCAAGTGTGATAAAAGTGGAACACAACTAATTCTGAAGACATTTGTGCAAGACAGAAAATCAAGGAGGAAACAAATGAAAACATGAGCACAGCTGAGAGGTTCCAAGCAGAAGTAAAATAAGTGTGAAGAAGCTTAAATTCAAACTGGAATTAATTTTTCTAGCCGTGCTGAACACAAAGTTTCTACATTCCTTTAAAGATATGAAGTTTCTGTACTGCCCATGGCATTGTTGAGAGGTTGATCTGTTACTACAAAACCGAGTGATAAGCAGATAAATAAATAAAAACAAAATATTAATTCCTTACGCAAGTTCATCAAGCAATGCTAGTGGGGGTACTCCTGTGAAGCGTAATGGATCAGGAACAATGAACAAAAGAGAAACAATAGCACCAATCATAAGATCACCCAGCTGTGGATAGTCATGAAGTGGAGAGTGCAACTCATGGGTCTTGCAATTTTTGGCATCAGCCTTGCTTCCTACTTGGAGAAGCAAGTTTAAAAAGAACACCCCTAATTCCCCCATGCTGAGTAGAAGGACAAAGCTTTCCTCTTCATGCAAATCCAGTCATTCCCATGTAGAGCATTGAGATTGCAAATATAAACTCCCTCGGAGCAGGGGCTCCCCTTATCCATTCTTATGTTTATAGATCACTGTACATATTGCCACTGTCCTTCACAGTCTCATAGAATTGCTTTGTTTATTAGAAATCTGCAGAGATTTTGAGTAGTAACAGAACTGCACCTTAGACAATTAAAGGAGAATATAGCAATTTGAAATCAGGTATTTTGAAAGTGAAAACAGGTGTTGTTAATTCCCACATGATGGGCAGCACAATATTTCTGTTATTTTTACAAATTAATTGGAAAGGAGTCAACTATGAGGCTACACACAGCATTAAATATGAACCCCACTGGAGTTTATGGTTTTAATCTGAAATCTTTGTACAGAACTCCAATTTGGATTGGGAACACAATGTACAGGCAGTGAAGGTTAATCGTTCCTCTGCAGTTATTCGCTTTGCAATATTCTCTCTGTCCTGCCAATGGAACCTTTCCACTCACAATAAATTCCTGGAAGTGCATTAATAGCTGCATATGGGCGGGGAATTTAATTCTCTTCTCCCGCTATGCTGTGGTCCCAGTGTAAACCAGGAGCAGTACCTTTATTAAGAATAACACAAATTTCAGAAATGAGTATGCAAACTTGTTACCCACCCAAATGGAGCTCATTCTTGACCAGCCATTTTCCATCTAACTCCTAATTGGGTTGTAGAGCTATAAAGCTATGAAATCATTTGCTAAATATACTAGGAGGCTAAGAATGAGTGGCTGGATGGTGATGGTCATTCATTTGAGCAGTTTGGAATGATTGGAACTTGCCAGTAGTGGGTGGGGGACACTCTTGCCTATCAGGCACCATTCCCCATTTTCTCCCTGGCTTAAAAATGATGTGAAAAGAAACTACTGTTATTATTTTAGTATTTTATTTATTTATTAAAACATTTCTATGCCGCCCCTTGCCAAAGCCTCGGGGCAGCTTATTAAGGATTGGCTGAGGACTGATTTGTAGAAACTACCCTGAAAGTGAATTTGTAATTTCTGAATAGTGCAGCATTTCTGAATAGGCAAAGAGGGAAGACAGAACATCGGATTTGTTGTCTTTGTGTTGTTCACTCATTTCCTCTAAGAAGAATGACGCAGTTGAATTTTCTCTTACTTATTTATGTATGTATGTATGTATGTATTTATTTATTTATTTAAAGTTTTTATATGGTGTCCCAATAGTAAGAGTCTCTGATATGTGTTGGATATATAAAGCTTTGTCTAAAGCAGGATTTACATCTGTAAGGTTTCAGTCTAAGATATTCTGAGACCAGAACTCAGAGATAGGATGCAGAGTCAGCAGTGTATCCTCACTAAGATAAAATTTATTTACGTTGCTAAGACATCTTTGGTGCTACATGTCTAGAATTCATTCTTAAGCTATTCAGCCTAGTCAAAGCCCATATTTAACAGAGCTGATGGTGAGAAGCCCAAATTAGCCAGTTTCAACCAAACTGACTTCGTCCAGCTAGATTTGTAATCATCCTCAAGATCTCCTAGGTTGCCAGAGGCATTTATTCATGGACCATATATCTTGAGTAAGTTTGCAGCCAATGCAACACTGAACCAAAGATTTGCATGAAGTGAAATATCATCAACAGGATTTTTTTTTATTATGAATAGGAAGAAGTAGAAAGGTGAACAGAAAGCAAGAGATAAGTAATGGAGTCATCCATGATTATGTCCCCTGCTGACAAATATAACCGTGCTTCAAGACGGACTCCTTCCTTAGTTTCTCTCAGGATTGGTCATGCTGATTCCATTGGAGAAGGTCTACTGCAGCCTGCAGGGAGACAGTCTGGCAATGTGTAACTATTCAGGCTGGGACTGGATACTCAGCTAATTTCAGTGGACAACATTCTATGACTTCTGGGAGTGGGAACATCTTTTTAAAACTGCAGTGTGGTTGGGGTTACTCTGAATTGCCCTTCAGGGACCCCTTGTAACTTAGTGCCTCTGTTCACAAAGTGATGAAGGAGTCTCTTTTCCCTACCCGATCTGTAGCACTTGAATAGGTCAAACTATTTGTTGCATTGCATTGCACTTTAACAGAATCAAAACTCATAATTACACAAATATAAAACAATAGAAATAATATAGCGATGATGGACATATTTAAAAAATACAGAAATAACAGTGCTACCTACACCAGGACCAAGAGATACATGCTACTTAATGTAAAATCAGTTATTCATTGCTCCAGCTCCCCTTCCAGAACTGCATTAAATCCTGTGGTGGCTCATACCCCTCTCCCTAGATTACAACACTTTCAATAAACAGTCTCCAAATAGATTTTTTAAAAATTGACATATTAAATCCTTTTCCACTTAATATTGTCAGTTAACTTATCCTTAATAGCTTTGCCCAAAATCTATTAATAACAAGCTTTTATCTGAGAATCAGCTTTTACTAAATTTTGTAGCACTTGAAGTAGCAGCTTTTCTTCTCTTTTAACTGCCAGATTTTCTTCTCCTAGGCCTGAGGAGTAGCAGGAAGTACAGTTGGAAGGAACAAGGATGAAAGGGATGATTTGGGTTCTTTGGGGAAGAAATTCCAAAGTATTTGCAAGGTGAACAAAGGTCTGTTGGACTAGGGATGCTGAAGACAAACAACCTGAGCTCAGCACAAAGAAACATTTTAGGAAAGAAATGCCACAAGTCTCCCACATCCTCTTTCTGAGGAAAATGACATCTGATTAAGTTTCAGAAGCCCTGAAAAGACTGACTTCTCACAAGGCTGGTGCAGGAGCCTAACCATGCATTAAAGGTGCTTATGGGTCTATTATGCCCTTGTTTAGCTTTGCTTTCTGAAGCCATCAGCTTTGCTCAAAGTCCATGTAAGTACAGCAGCACCTGACAATCTTCAATGGAGTGCCTCTGAGAAAAGAAAAGGCTATGTCATGATTGATTTGCACATGAGGGACCCCTTACAGTACACCTGCATGACTTTCCAAAAGGAGCTGGACCACTTTCTTCAGTGAAGATTGGTCTAAATAAGAAGCAACTGGAAAACATTAGGGAACATGAGATGAACTGTGAAAAACAGTTGGTGTGCACAAATTTGTCCATTGACAAAAAACAACAAAACAACAAAACAAAGTATGGCTACACAGATGGATTGCAAAGTGTAGCAAAATGTGAAGACAGGTCATTTTTTCAAGTTGTTATTAGATGCTCCTTCTTGTTCAGCTCAGGTCTCAGCAAAATGATGTAACATTTGGGGAAGAAGATGCAAACCAGCAGGCCAGAACTGGAGGCTAAGATAGAAAAGATCTCTACAGTCACCAGGTATTTCCCTTTGGTGCTCAGGTAGGAAGGCACAAAGGATAACCACACACTGCAAAAGACCAGCATGCTGAAAGTGATGAACTTGGCCTCATTGAAACTGTCTGGCAGCTTCCTGGCAAGAAAGGCCACAATGAAGCTAACCATCGCCAGGAAGCCCAGATAGCCCAGCACACAGTAAAACATGGTTATAGATCCCTCGTTACATTCCAGCACAATTTCCTCAGCTACTGAATGCTTGTCAATATCTGGGAAAGGAGGAGAAGTTGCCAACCAGGCAAGACAAATGGCTGCCTGAAGAAGGCAGCAGGAAAGAAGGAGGGTGTTTACCAGTCTCTTCCCCATCCACTTCCTCATCTTGCATCCTGGTTTGGTGGCTCTAAAGGCCAAGACCACCATGACTGTCTTTGTGAGCACACAAGAGACAGCCACTGAGAAGATGATGCCAAAAGCAATTTGTCGCAGGAGGCATGTTACCTTGTGTGGCTGGCCGATGAAGAACAATGCGCAGAGGAAGCAGAACAGGAGAGAGACGAGGAGAGCATAGGTGAGGTGCCGGTTATTGGCTTTGACAATGGGCGTCTCATAATGTTTCCAAAATATTCCTAGCACCAAGGACGTTATCAAGCAGAAGAGAATAATGAAAGAGGTTAAAATGACGCCCAAAGGTTCTTCATAAGAAAAGAAGTTAGCAGACTTGGGAATGCAGAAATCCTGGCCCTTGCTTGGGTACTTTTCATCTTCACATGGATAACAGTAATGCATATCTGAAGAAAAATGAATATATACATGTTCTCATACATTCTAAAGCTCTCACCAACAGGCCACATCAACTTCTCAGTTGCCTTGTTTTCCACTGATTGTTGAGAATCCATGAATACATTACATCTGCATTTGTAAAATCTTAAATGCTTTGCACTCTGAATATGAAGAAATTGCCATATCTTATTACAGTCTGCAAGAGGCAAATTCTGTAACTGCTTGCATCATGAAGAGGACCATGTTGTATCGGCTGCCATAAAGCCCTAAAGATGAAGAGCCTTTCAGGGAACAGGGTGGAGGGGAGCAAATTCATACAAATTCTCGATTTTAGAGTAAACCTAATTAAATGAATGGAAACTGTGTCTAAATACACTTGTACACAAACAGGCTGCACTTCATGTAACAAATGTGTAGTTGTAGAATTTAGGCAAGACCTTGCTTTGAAAACATAGACATTGGATAATAGGGCTGTCATCATGGAGGTGTACTACTGTGACTGGAGTCCCTTCATTATTTGTTACATGTGAGTCATGATCTTTTAGCATCAATGGAAGAATTTATGTTCAAGGGCAAGTTCTGAAGGTACATGTTTCAATAGTCAATAATCAGCCACACATCCTGAACATTTAGAGTCCATTGCAATTGGGCCAAAGGATCACACACATGCTCACACCCACAAACCCATCCCCCCAAATACACACATATTCAATATCTTCCGCCTGGCCCCACTTGGTCCCACTGAATCACACTGCAATCCCTGAAGAAACCTGTTCTAGTTTTATCAAATATATTTGGAATAGATGTACATTCGAAGGCCTACCTTTCTTGCCTGAAATCATTCCTTCAGCACATGGGATGCAATTGTAGCAGCAAAAAGGCTCCCCTTCCTTGACTATCTTCCTAGAGCCAGTATTGCAACTCTCACTGCACGCAGACAGAGGCTGTGCCTAAGTCAGCAGGGAAGAAGAAGAAGAATGAGAATTATTCAGTGGAATCCTTCCATTTCTGCAGTCTCCTTTTAAGTTGATAAACTCTCCCGGAGTTCCTTTTCCATAAAGGTGCTCTGTGAGGCTTTGGTAAGGATGAAATTATATGACTGTGTCGTGGAGGAAAACTGCATACATGGAACGGAAAATGGGGCAAAAAAATGGTTTCAACATCTTATGTGAATTGTTTCATCAACCTAAGTCATCTGAGTTTGGAAAAAGCACTTCTTTTTCAGTCTGCCTAAAGTCACCCAAAATCACATTTTCAACCTGTTTTTGAGCTACCTAAGCTATTTAGTGTATGCATTTTTCCAAAAACCAAACCAATATGTATTTTCATTCTTTTTAACAACATGCAGATTTTCTAATTAAAATATGATTTTAAAAAATGAACTGACAAATTCTGGAATTTGCAAGCTTTTCTCAAAGGAAACACTCCTTTGTCCTTTTAAAAGAGATGTGCACATGATTTGCCAGAAGTGTGCTTGATGTTCTTTCTTCCTCCCTCTGTTTAAAACTTGCTCAGGTGGAGGTGAAATGAAGCCACCCAAAAATTGGCTGCCATTTTCTTTTGGGGAATGGGAACTAGTCTGGCAGCACTCTGTGGTACTCCATACCTTATCTCATTTAGACACTGATATATCACCTTTGAGATTTTTTCTACCTCTCTGAATCACAGGGGAGCTTGAAGACTTCCAGTCTATTTCTGTGATTACAATGAGATAGCCAGACAAGGTAAACTGAAATGTGTTACAAAATCCACCCCTCAATATTTTTTCAAAGTTTTTTTTTTCTCCTTTCTTTCCTTTCCTCTACTTTTTATTTCATTTTTGAGCCAAGGCAATATTAGTTCAACTTACTGCAATTTAGACTCTTAAGCCTCCCCCCACACAAACACACACATTTGGAAACTAAAAGTGGTGGCTCTATGGGCAAGCTGCATGTATCCACATGACTTTAAGAGCCCCCCCCCCCCCGCATCCTTCCCAATTGTTGCTGTGGCAGAAGAACAATGCAGGCAAAATATGTAAGTGGTCCTAAACGGCCAAATCAAGCTTTACTATAAGATGCAAGCAGCTTTAATAGCACAATAAGAGAATGTAACTATTAGGATGCTCTGAAAACTGACACTGGTCCTCAGTGGCAAATCATGTAAACATCTCTCTTGTCCACCCCTCATGCAGTTCTTCACTACTATTGGGTTGGGATCGTGATGTGCCAAACTGACACTGAAGCCAACAGAAAGCAAATCAAGACAGGACTACATTTTCACCATGATTACACTGGGATAGAAGCTCATTTGAATCTAGAATTAGGTAAGCTACTTTGAATGAGTTATATGAAAAAGTCAATATTACTGTCAGTATTACTGTGGGGTTCCTAGAAGTGCTGGTGGTTGAGGAGACAGGATGTCAATCTGTCAGTTTCATTTCCTCCAGCATTTCTATATTTAAAATTTTATTTGTTCCATCTCAAATATGAAGAAGCTCGGAGACTTCAACAAATTCTTACCAAAAAAATTTAGACTGAAATGAAACTATCACTCATCTGTCATTGCCAAAACCAAAAAGAACATAGATTCCTGGCTTTCTGCCATATTTCTATTAAAGATGAGAAGCCTATCTGAAAAATAAGTGGCCACCTTGACTAAGAATTAGATGGTACTTTACACAGAGATTCAGAGTCAGACTTTTGATATGTGTGCACCAAATGATTTTACCAGGAAAGACCAAACTGACAGTTTCCATTTCTTCCGCATGCAGATTATTTGAATCACAAGCTCTTTCCAACCCCGATACAAAGACATTTCTTAATTTTGGTTAAAAATTATATAACATGAAATGAAACAAAATTTCCAACCTTCCCCAAATTGGAGGAAAATAGTAAAGGAACACATATTACAAAGGAAAAGACTAGGGAGGAAGGCTATTTGGTCTCCTTCACTCCATCACGTATTGTGCTATCCAGTTCCAATTAAGAATTTTTCTAGGTCCATCAGGCTCAAATGAAATGAAATGCACTTGTCAATACTGAGAATGAGTCCTAATCAAATGTGCTAATCCACCGAGAATCAAACCTGATTAAACCAGCTGTTCCATGTTATGGCATCCAGACTAATGGAAAATGTGTGTCCTGCAGGAGGGTGGGCATCCATCCTCCCAACTTTCACTCTTTGAAAAGATTGGTTTGAGGAAGCAATCCAATTGATCACATCAAATCCACTTATGAACTCTCCATTCTCATTGAAAGAAACCACATCCCCAGCACTGTTGTTAAATGAAACAGCCCTCAGAAAATAATGGAGCTGGAATGAAAAGGAAAGTGCTTAAAGCAATTGTTAAAGGAATTGTGTTGACAGAGGCAGAGAAATACATTCACTGCATAACTGCCTATTCCCCCCCCCCCCCTTGATCTCCTAATTAAAAGGTTAGATTGAATTGCTTCTGAAATTTGAGTCAATTTTCCAGGCAATCTAGAAATGTAGTTCTGTGGGGGAACCTATTCTAAATGTTCTTGCACTCACACACATTCTCTATGACCTTGCTGTTTGTGTAAGAAGAGACATACTTTACTATCAAGTTCAAATATGGACCCAATAGATTTGCTGTTATATGTTGATGCATTTTGTAATCTACAAAGCTGTGGTTCTCTCCCACTTGAGGCTATTCAGGCCATTACCTGCCACTGTAGCTGGTTCTGAAGCATCAGTCCACCTCTGGTCACCATTTCTTTGTTCTTCAGACCAGATGAAAACATGGCATGCAACGCATGGGCCACTGCATGGACAGCATTGTATACATTGTAGCTGTGACCAGTAAAACTCATTTCAAAAAATGACCCAGGAAGACACTCCAGCTTCTCATCCCCAGTGCAGATATTCCCATCTATATTGCCCAGAAATGGATCTGGAAATACACAACTGAAAGCCTGTTGCCAGAAGGTCCTAATAAATTCATCTCCTTTTGGACTTGAAGGGTTTTTTGCATTAAGGAATTCTTGAAATCCTGGGACATGTTTGGATTGAATTGTGAAAGACAGTGCGCCATGAAAAAAGTCCGTGTTCCAATCCCTTTGATAGACAAATGATGTAAGCTCCACCTGAGCTGTCACAATGATTACTTTACCAATTGGTGCATTTGCCACATGACCTCGTTCTGATAGATATGGTAACCACCTGAAAAATGTCATGGAATATGATTCTCCATTGGCCACCAGTACATTGGCTGTGCTGTCCACAATTTTATCACGTATTCTTGCTCCTTTCTCAAAATTGTATTTCATATCCTTGCCAAGAGTAAGTTCAGGGGTTTTTTCAATGAAAGCAAAGCAGACACCACTGTCAGAAAACAGTGGGACCACCATCTGGAGGAATCGCTCCCCATTGTCATTATCTGTAACGACTGTCCCAATCCAAGTCCACCCAAAATGCAGCAGCAAAGAGAGAATGCCTGCATACTGAAGGGACTCCCTGGGAGTCATGTTGTAGAAGGAAAGGCCTGGCGTTTTATCATTCATCACTGGTGCAGAGCCATATATCATCTAAAGAGATACAAGGAGAGGGAGAAGCACCAAATAGTGCAGACGTTTTTGAAGCAGCATTAATGTTTTCAAAACATTGCACATACAGTCTCAACAACCTTGTAAATAGTGGTATAATAAAGGGTTCTCCAATGTGTCATGGCACATGTGGGCATCTCCATGTGGGCCTTTAGAGGCATCTCCAATATGGCACCCTAGGACATCATATTTCTTTTTCCACTATAGATGCATGTGGATGTTTCTCCTTGGATTTTTATGGCTGGCACACTACTTCCTAGCAATAATGCCTAGAAATCAACACAATGGAACAAATGCTGAAAGAGGTACACATTTAAAGGTCCTCAATCATTGGGTCATAGATGGGCATACCCCTAAGATCCCTAAGTTTCCAAGTATCAGTCTTTTAGCCATGAAGAGAGGAAAGAGAAGCCATTTCATCCATATGGTAGTTTCAATGAAATTATTTAATAATATAAGGACAGCAGATGAACCAATGATTATTAAAGATTATTTCATGAAAAATCCACATCTGTCATAATCTTGTCCTGCACACAAAAAGCAACTTCTACAATTTGCTAACATCAGTGTTTCAAAGAGGCACTCCCTGCACTGCAGCATGTGCAATTAGCGACTCTCGGCCGTTGCTCATTGAGGAGACTTTGCAGCATAGAACAGATGCAAAACAACTGTTTTTGCAGAGTAAATTAACATCTGTAGGTGAGACAGGATGGTTTGAAAAGAGTGATCCACTCATTCATATCCTTTTTCTTAACTTCCCAGGTATGCCCAGGTGTTTAAAATTGTTTGGATCCACTACTACGATCTATAACAAAATCACATTGTCCCACCTCCTTGCAAAACATATTTCACTGAGCCCACCAAAAATAATGAAGCTCATTTTCTGAGCCAGTTTCATATTCAGAAGAGAGCTAACTCCTTTCTCCCTGCTTTATCCCCTCCTCTATCCCCAAACCAATCTGCCTTTTCCTGAAACGGTTAGTGATACCAATTGGTGGTGAACACAGAGCGGTGTGCAAAGAGAGATAGAAATGGAGAGCTCTGTCCTTCCCTGCTCTGCCTAGTGATGGCTGAAGGAAGGAAACATGTGCATGGCATTACAAATTGTAACAGGATGTCTATGTGAATGTGGTCTGAGCCTCTGCCTAGATCCTCCTCTCTAAGATCCAAAAAAAAGGAATAGAGTCCAAGCAGAAATTTCCCTCTCACTACAGATTTTGCTTTGCCTTTGACACTGTTGTTCATCCAGAGGAGACAGACAATAGGACTACTTCCGATACACAAATTTCCTTCTTCAAACCACAAGTGCACAAATGAAAGAAGAATGTTCTGGGAAGAAAATGTTAGACTCCCAATCCCGATATTCAACTAAAGACATGCTCCCCACCTGTGGGATCTTATAGATATCCAAGAGAGTTGCTACCTGAAGGGAGATTTGGGCATCCAGTCCCCCTATAACTGATATCAAGTGTTGCTGGATACCACATTTGTAGTTCGGAACTAATCTCCCTGCTGCACATAGCAGTAGCAAGGTGGCTTGATAGGTCCACTTGGCCGTGAAATAGCTGTCATAGATGCAGAAGCCCAAGGTGAGGTTGGGTAAGATGAGTGGGTTGTCATTGATCTCCTGCACTGCAAATGTCAAGGCCAGGATATGTTGGTAATTCTTTGGCACCACGCTAAAAGCAACAAAGTCAGTTTCTGTATTAGAACATTCCTCACACAGTACTTTGTAAGCCACTCACACTGCTTTTTGTATCCTAATCCTCATCTCGACCTACCTCCCAAGTGAAGTGTGCCAGTGCACAATATCACGATCATATCCCCCTCATGGCAGAGGCTCATCAACATCCTGCTGAAGCAGCTTAATAGAATCCTGTGTAAGGAGTGAGGCACGGTGGTAGAATGATGCCTTACATTTTATCTAGATGGACATTTTCAGCCTTTGGCATTTAGTACATGAGAAGACACATTTGTCTGATCATATTCCGCAGTTAGGATGAACACCTCTTGTGACTGGGGCCAAGCAGAGCTTACGGGCTATGCCACACTGAATGTAATCCCTTCTAAGTTTCCAATTCTAATAAAACATCTGTCCAGTTTTGGATTCTGTATGGGTAACCCTAAAAGCAAGGAATTCCCATGTGTGGAAGGTTTGCACAAATGGTGGAATCCCTTTATCTGATTTTGAGGCTCCCTCTCTCTCCAGCTTGCCATAGATCAGCATGTTCAGTGGCATATCTAGAGGGGCTACAGTGGGAAAGAAGGGCAGGAGAAGTCTGCTTCCCATGAAGAGTTGATCCATGCCCCTGAATACTTGTTATATGCAGTTTCCATAGGAGAAAGAAAATTAAAGAGAGAGAGGTGAATGAACAGAGGTGTAAGAGACACAGAAGAGGAAGAAAGTCATCCAGAAGAAACTTGTGTAGGACAAAAACTGAGAAAATAAATTAGAGAAAATATGAGCACACCACAGAATTTCTGAGCAGAAGTAAAATAATTGTGCAGAAATGCAAATTCACCACAAAATGCAGCCTCCTTTCTATGAAGATTACAAAGTTTCCACATCTCTTGAATAATAGGAACAGCCTCTACTGCCCAAGCCTTTGTTCAGAGGCTTCATCTGCTACAAGAAATTCTGGTGTCAAGCAGATAAAGTAATGAATATATAACTAGAAGAAAAAACCAAATATTAACTCCTTACAGAAGTTCATCATGCAATGCTTGTGGGGGTTCTCCAGTGAAGGTTAATGCATCAGGAATGATGAAGGACAGAGAAGCAATGGCACCAATCATGAGATCTCCCAACAGTGGATACTCATGAAGTGGAAGGTGTGGCTCATAGTTCTTGCATTTTTCAGCATTAGCCTTCCTTCCTGTTTGGAGAAAGCTCATCAACACCATTCCTAATTCCCCCATGCTGAGTAGAAGGACAAAGCTTTGTCCTTCGTGAAAATCCATTCATTCCCATGCAGAGCACTGATATTACAAATGTAGGCTTCTTCAGACCAGTGACCATCATTATTTTTCCTTATGATTGAAGATCCTTGCATATATTGCCACTGTCCTTCAGAGTCTGGAGGAGTTGCTTTGTTCATAGGAAATCTGCAGGGATGTTGAGTAGTAACAGAACTGTTCTTTAGACAATTAAAGTAGAGGATAACAATTTAACATCACATATGCTGAAGTTGAAAACAAGTGTTGTTTTTCACACTTGATATGGAGTGTAATACTTCTATTGGTTTTATGAATGAATTGGGAAAGTTTCATCAGAATGCAAACACAAAACTATGAGGCTAAACACAGCATTCATTGTGAAGACCACTGGAGTTTTTGGTTTGCTCTGGACTCAGAGTACACTACCGTGATTTGGTTTGGGACCACAGTGTAAAGGCAGGGAAGCTTAATCTTTCCTGCACAGGCTTTTGCTTTGTAAAATTTTCCCGATCTAAATGAATGTTACATGTACCATTTAAACAATACTCAATCTTAGCCTGTACATATAGTAGTTTTGCTGTTTTGTTCTACTTTTACAGAGAGGGCGGTCTCTTTTTTGTCTCATTTTTAAAATTACAAGTGGGATTATGGGGGATGGTGTACTCATAAATCTAGGGATTTGCAGGGATTTCTCAAAGGAAAGCATGGTTTTGGTGTTTTAAAAGAAGGATGCTCACAAGATATTCCAGAAATGAACTTGCTTTGTAGGTATCCAGACTCCATTTCACAATTTTATTTATTTATTTATTTATTAAAACGTTTTTATGCCGCCCCATTCGCCAAAGCCTTGGGGTGGCTTACAGCAATAAAATAAAAATAATTATAATATGAATTTATCATGGGGAGGTGAAATTCCCATGGGGAGGTGAGATGAAGACACCCAATAGTGGCCACCATATGGGAATGCCACAGGTATCCCTATGACTTTAACAGCACTTCCCATCTGGACCAATTGTTGATGTGGCAGCAAAACAATGCTACACATCAGCCAGACAGAGGTGATCCAAAAAGGCAATACCCAAATTTACTGTAGGATGAGAGCAATTTTGATAGCACAATAAAGAGACTGTGACTACCAGGATGCTCTGAAACTGACACTGGCCCCTAGTGGCCCACCATTCTCTATACCAACTGCAGCTCCTTGCTGCGATTGGGTTGGATCATGGTCTTGCAGAATGATTAAGAAAACCAATCAAAAGCAAATTAGGCATACCCTTTCACCATGAATACACTGGAAGTGAGGTTCATCTTAATCAGCATTACATAAACCACTTTGGGTTCAATTTAAGAGAGAACTGGGATAAACATCTGATGATGGATGGATGGATGGATGGGTGATAGGTAGATCCAAGTCAGTATTACTGAGGAGTTTGTAGAAGTGGTAGTGGTGAAGGAGTAATGATGCCTTAATGTGTCAATTAATCTTTCTCCAACATTTGAACATTTAACATAATGTTCTTTCCATCTCAGATAAGAAGGAACCTGAAGACTTCTGCAAATTAGACTGAAATGGAATGGTCACTCCTCTGTCCTAGCCAAACAGAAAAGGAACACTCAGTCCTCCCTTCTTGCCATGCTGCTATTAAAAATCAGAAGCTGATCAGAGAGACCCTAACTGAGAACACACTGGTCCTTCAGACAGAGATTGTGACCTGGAGTTTTGAGATGTATTCACCAAAATCTCTTCACAGGAATGGAAAAAATAGTTGAGTTCCATTTCTTCCACACTCAGATTGTTCTAATACAAAGTTTTCTCCAGCCCAAAGAAGACACTTTCAATTTTAGCAAAACATTACATAACATAAATGACACAACATTTTCACCCATTCCCAGGTGAGGAGAGAAATAATACGTGCTTATTTTAAAGAAGAAAACTGAGCCTGCTGCATTTTCACTAATGACTAGGTCTAAGCGAAGTCATTCTTAGGGAAGTCCCATTGAAATCAATGGGATGCTAATAATAACTGAAGTTTTCTTTCTTTCAGTGTGCTGTCCCAAGTATGACTATTCCTGCATCTGAATCTATCTTTAAAATTGCATAATACTGCCTGGTTTCATAAAGGAGCAAAGTTAAGTTGAAAAACTAGGCTATGATTTTAATTATTTTCAAAAGAATAGCAATAAATAAAATTTTAATTTATGTTTTTTTCTTCCATATTTCACCTGGTTAATTTAGCAGCACTGGAAGCAGGGCAGAAGTTCATTGGGCCTCATTCACTGCATCACTTATTAGACTAACCAGTTCCACAATTAAGTATTTTCTAGGTCTTTCATTCTCAAATGAAATGCAATGCACATGTCAATATTGAGACTTAGCCTTATTGAATACCCACACTATGCCAATCCACTGAGAACCAAACCTTATTAAACCAGCTGTTCCATGTTATGGCATCCAGAATTGTGATGAATGCTTGGCCTGGAGCAGCATGGGCATCCATCATCCCAAATTTCACTCTTTGAAAAGATTGGTTTGAGGACACAATCCAAATGATCTCATCAAATCCAGTTAGTAACTCTCCATGCTGGTTAAAAGAAACTGTGTCCCCAGCACTATTGTTAAACAAAATAACCTTCAGAAGATGATGGAGATGGAATGAAAAGGAAGGAGCTTAATAGAAATGTGGACATCTAGAAATGTGGATATGAACTGAATGAGCTCCCCTACTATGTACTGAACTTTTTATTATCTAGAAAGCTGTGGTTCTTTCACACATTAGGCTCTTCAGCCCATTACCTGCCAATGTACTTGGCTCTGAAACGTCTGTCCACCTCTGGTCACCATTCCTCTGTTCTTCAGATGAGATGACGACATGGCATGCAAGGCATGGCCCACTGCATGGACAGCATTGTAGGCATTGTAGCTGTGGCCAGTTAAGCTCATTTCAAAAAAAGTTTCAAGAAGACACTCCAACTTCTCATCCCCAGTGCAGATATTCCCATCTGTATTGCCCCAAAATGGATCTGGGAATACACAGCTGAAAGCCTGTTGCCAGAAGGACCTAATAAACCCATCTCCTTTTGGACTGGAAGGGTCTTGTGCACTAAGGAATTGTTGAAATCCAGTGACATCAATGAATTGAATTGTGAAAGAAAGAGCACCATGGAAAAAGTCCATTTTCCAGTCCCTTTAAATGACAAATGACATGAGCTCAACCTGAGCTGTCACAATTATTACTTTACCGACTGGAGTATTTGCCACATGTCCTCATTCTGATAAATATGGTAAGAATCTAAAAAATGACATGGAATAAGATTCTCCATTGGCAACCAATACATTGGCCGTGCTGCCCACAATATTATCACGAATATTTGCCCCCTTCTCAAAAATGTTTTCCATATCCCTTCCATGAGCAAGTTCAGGGATTTTTTCAATGAAAGCAAAACAGACACCACTCTCGGAAAACAGTGGGACCACCATTTGGAGGAATCGAGCCCCATTGTCATTGCCAATAAAGACTGCCCCTATCCATGTCTACCTGAAATGCAGCAGCAAAGAGAGAATTCCTGCATACTGAAGGGATTCCCTAGGAGTCATATTGTAGAAGGAAAGGCCTGGGGTTGTATCATTCATCAGTGGTGCAGAGCCATATATTAACTAAGGAAATACAAGGAGATGGAGAAGCACCATATAATATAGACAATTTTGTAGGAACAAAGCATTTGCACATACACTCTCAGCAATCTTCTAAACAGTAGTATAATACAGGGATTCCTAGTGTGTCAGGCACAAGTGCTCAGCTCTAATAATGCCCAAAAAGTAGTGTCCCATATGGCACTGGAAGACATATTATTATTTTTCACTATATGTGCAAGTGGATGTGTCTCCAGGGACTTGTAAGGCAAGCAAAAACCTTCCTAGCAATAATTCTGAGGCTTTAACGTGAGTGGACCAGATACCCCAAGAAGTATGGATTTGAAGGCTGGGTCTGTACCCCTTGTCCTATTCAGACAACAAAATACTATAATGTCCATAGTCCTTGCCAGATGGATTAGTGTTCCCCAACCCCAGCTCAGTTTTGTAGCATCAGTCTTTTAGCCAGGAAGGGAGCACAGACTATCCTTTTCATCCATAGGTTAGTTTCCATGAAATAATGTACTTATTAATAACAATGTATGATCTGATAAATATTAAGATAATTCTGTGGGAAATCTGCATGTGTCATAATCTCTTCCTGCACATAAAAAGAAATGACTGCAAATTGCTAAAGCAACTTTTTCCAAGGTATATTCTCTGCATAGCACCATGAGCAAACAACCAATCTAGGCAATTCATTATTGAGGAGACATTACAGCATCCAAAAGGCATAAACCAAAAATTTCCTGAATGAGAAAGGGAGAAATTAGAACAGATTCATGAATATATCCAGTGGCCAAAATGTTTCGGCACCACTGCTATGATCGATATAAAATTGGCAGTCTCCTCCCTCCTGCAATACATATATTCCCAAAGCCACTGAAAATACTGAAGTTTATTTCCTGAGTCAGTGTAAAGTTTAGGAGAGTGCTAACTCCTTCCTCCCTTCGGTCTCTCCACTTCAGTCCCCAACATGCTTTGCCTTCCCCTCAGATGGTTCATGATCCAGACTGGTGATGAATGCAGGGCCTGGTACACAAGGAGAAAAAATGGAGAGCTCCTTTTTTTCCTACTCTGCCTATGGACAGCTGGAGCAAAGAGCAAGATAACTGAGGAGGAATGGGAATGTGAAGAAAATGTTAGACTTCAATTCCTCATATTCATCAAAAGACATGGGCCCCACCTGTGGAGTCTTGTAGATATCCAAGTTAGTTGCTATGTGCAGGGAGGATTTGGCATCCAGTCCCCCGATGACTGCTAGCAAATGTTGGTGGAGATCACATTTGTAGTCTGGGATTAATTTCCCTGCTGCAGATAGCAGTAGCAAGGTGGCTTGATAGGTCCACTT